TTTGTATTGAAGGTGTAAAGATCAACAAGGAAATGTACGTAGAGGACATTTCAGAAGATGCACATAAGCGATAGTGCAATGCCATTTATGGTTATGAACAGTGAACATTTCAACAAGACGGAGAATCGAGGCATACAGTTCGTGTAACACAACAGTGTTGCAAAGGCAATTCTCCAGGCTTCATCACTATAGACAAATGGTCTACTTCGTCAATAGATATCAACACTAATGACTATTTTGGGGGGACAGTTCTTAAGAGTGAGACCTGTTTTACTCCACCCCACAATACTAAAACTCTGAAGGAAAAATTGAAAAGAGTATGGAATAAAATATCTAGAGAAACTGTGCGTGCCTTCCTTAATGACGTTCACGAAATGCTTCAACATGTAATGAAGTCTAAAGGGAACCTTATTCAATGACATTTTCGGGTGTTATTTACGAGATTAATTTTTAATTTTTGTTAGGATTACGAAGGATATAATATATTTTCAGGAGTTATGATCTTCAGCTTTTTTTTATTTATGACAATATTTACTCTGCACCATGGAAATGTTTAATCTCCTGATTAGATCCCTTTAAATACATCTTACTTTTTATAATTTTTATAAGTCGAACATGGAGAACACTGATGTTTTGTGATTACAGAAAAAGTTAAATATGTCCATACAACGCAAGGATATTGTGAAGAGTGTTTAAGGCTGAAAACAATCAAAATCTATTAAAGCCAACAGAAACCTTTTAGAAAAATTTAATGCATCAAACAAACTATGTAAGTAATATGATGCAGGAAGTAATCGAAACATTGTTTTCAGGATCTGTCGTGGCTCTTTAATGCAAATCATATTGAGTGGGTTTCATACTCAGTGGACCTCAGAAATAAAACCAACTCTAAAATAAATAGTAATATGAACAAAATACAAACGATCCATGGCAATGGGTGTCTTATCACTAGACCACTTGCAATGTTTTTAGAGAAGAGTGTATCATGACATGAAAAGCGTCCATCACGCCACATCAAGTAAAGTTGATGGTTTGCTTGAGAGGGCACGATGGTGGACAATACCTATCGCCGACCATTAGAAAAAATTGGTAAGAAGAAGAAATTGAAGAAGAAGAAGTAGAAGAAGAAGTCGAAGAAGAAAACAAGGAGAATAATAATAATAATAATAAATCGACTAAGATTATTTTATTTCTTGTTAAAATAAATAGACAAAATAGGTACCAATTCTACTTGGCGACTCTCTTCAAACTTTAGAGAAAACGGTTGTTTGCATAATATATACAGAGAAAAACGTATAAATTGTAGACAGAAATGCAGAAACAATGAAAGAGAGATAAATTGAGATAGAAAATGATATAGAAATAATGTAATAAATAATAAAATTAGATTATATTTTAATTTAATTTCTTGATCACCTAACATTCTAAAAGGCTTTCTTTTTTATTGATCATTTTTTTACAATTATTTGTTGAGGTGTGGTTTACTTTTTATTTTTCAATTTTGGTTTTAATTTGAAATTTTGTAGATTAATTGTCAGCTTTTATATTCATTGGTTTCTTTAAATTTTGCTGATAAAATCAAGATTTATCGAGGAATGAACATCCATATTTCAGACGATCCTTGAAAGGATTTTTTTTTGCAAAACTGAGTCATCACTGATCAGTTGATCCAACGACAAAATCCCGTATAACATTTTTAGAATGATTGTTTCGAAAACCAATTTTATTTGATTTTGTCAATTCTTATTAAAGTTATTTTCATGATTGTAACTTCCATTGTTATTAGAGTTTGTTAATAGTTATGAATTCATTTGAGAAGATTTTGTAAAACGAGGCTAGTAAAAAAAACAAACTATGACCTGAAAATAAGGTGTAATTGTATTTAGGATTGTTTTGTCTATCCAATTCTGCTTAACACGTTTCAATTATTGATAACCTGGTCGAGTGGCTGAAATATAATTGTTTTCTTGAATTAATGATTTAATTTTTCCTTAGGCGAATTACTCTGAGGAAAAAGGATTCCCCAAAAGTGTTTATAACGAGTCTCTTTTAAAGAGTTATACTAAGATAAGGTCTAATTTTCATTAATAATACACATATCTGCCAATAAGATAGCAATAATAATAATAAGAAGAATCTAACAAGATAATAGTACCAATAATAAGATCAATAATAATAATAATAATAATAATAAGAAGAAGAAGAAGAAGAAGAAGAAGAAGAAAAAGGACAAGAAAATGCATATAATTATAACTATGACTAAGATACTACTAATAAAATACTACTAAATTACTACTACTAGTAAGATACTACTTGTATCTTTTAATAAGAATGCTCTTACTAATAGGATTTATACTGAAATATTGTGTAAGTTTCTATCAGAAGGCAGTCCATTACGATAATAGAAGATATGTCTTTTCTTTTCGCGCTAAAGACTGTATAAGACCACCCGAATATATTATATAGTCAGGGACATTTAGATTGTTACAGTTTAACTAATTAAATATAATTGTTTTACAACAGGCATATTTTGTTCATTTAAAGTACTCTAGTTTGAAGTACTCTAAGACGAATAATAAATAATGGTTGAAAATAGAATACATACAGTCAGAATAGTTAGGTAATATGGGTCTTTATTCTCTATGATATTTATTTTCAAAAGCTAACCGCTAATACAATTAGATCAATTTGTTTTCTTCGTCTTCTATGTGTCATACCACTTCAGATCGTTGGCGATTATGGTCCTCCAAACGTCCCTTTCATTTGTAACGGTTAGTAAATTTTTATTTTTTTTTATTTCTCATAAAACTAGTTCTGCCATCTATTGACACGATTTACTTAGATAGTTTATGTACTGTTTTCCGCAGGACCACTTGCTTTCAATAGGTCTTGTGAGTGTCAAATTCTCTAAGCTTACTAGATGCTCATAATATTGATTTCTAACACTTTAAAATACGTTTAGTAAATAATTATTTAATGTTTGTGTCACCGTAGAAAAGTTTAGTGTGTCTCTCAGTTACGTCTGACAGAAGTGATGCCCTTCAAACATAGAAACTTGTTCAAGGTGACTAGAAACATGCTTGGTGCATTATCTGATTGCATTTTGCATTTCCTGCATTTGTTTACTTCTTACAATTTAAAAGGAGTTATTTTAAGCTTTGATTTTAAAGCCACTATTAGTAGACTAGTATAACATAAACATTATTAAAAAATAATTCATATAGAGAAGACCTAAAGAAAGTATAAAGAAACAAGAAAATTCCATTAGAAATTAAGTAAGAGTGCTGAACTGCTACGTAATATCAGTTACGTAATATCCAATATAGAAGTTAATATGGACACATTTCCTCATACATGAAGATAAATCTCAAAGAAGCAGTGATATGATTCTACAGCCCTGTGCAAATAATTGTTACAACCGCTTTAGTTTCCTTACTTTCATCATACAGTTTATGACCTACTGGAGTGACAGGGTGTAATCGATATCTATTATCCCCAGATTAGGTCATTTGCAGTAGTGTTCAGTAATATGAATCTATTTTCGGAGTCTATGATGAATCTACATCATCTATGTTTGCATCGGATTTTAATCATGCCCAGACACTATTGTCGCTTCTGTCGATTAGTTTTACTGTGCCCATCGTCTGCGATGGACGTTACTCCAAGGAAACTTAAGAAAATTGTAAAGTTGTAGGAAAACAATGGCAAGTCATATCAGTGAGCAAAACAAAGTACTATCGACTGGATCGGAGACGTTCCAGATTTTAATCTAATCAAGAATTTGTGGTCAATCTGCAAAGAAAGACTTCGTTGAATGGACATACGAAGTAAGGACACGTGCATTGGTTCATGATTCATTGGGAAAATACGAAAATAGTAAATAATAACGGAATTATTCATTTTGCTTCAATTAATTTGCACAAGGGTATATAGAAGCATGCTGAGAATAATGAAGCTTGCGAAAAATGAAGAAGTTTTATGAAAGATGGAATGATACGACAATTGTACACTAAATAGGAAAGGGTCACATAAGCAAATAGAAACTTTCAAATATGACTCGGGACAGACACACTGGAATCAAAAGTGATGGAGTAACCTTCTTAATGTGCATGTGAAAATGGATGACAGAACAGCGAGTGGCGGCGGCGGCGGCGGCAGTAAAAAATATAAACATGAGAAGCATGAGTTGTGTGCAGTTCCCTATCGAAATGACACTACAAATAGAAGAAGTAGTAGGGTAGGAATAGAGATAAGTTAGAGAATAATCTACGAGACCAGCCTACAATATATATGTCTACTCTAGATTTCTACAATGGAATTTAAGAAGCCATTGTTAAAAGCTTTCGGTTAATGAAGATAGTTTTAAAACCTAGTGTTTAGACTTTCTCCTCAGTTTTATGAATACCCTCGAGAGCATATTAAAAACGCCAAGTAAATTAAACAATGATTCTGTATGAGGATCCTTATAACACCAGTTTTACCCATTGGTAATTCTTTTCGCTATAATGTTTCTCAAGTTGTCATATTCATCCTTTTGAGTTGACAACTGCAGAGCAAGGTGAGAAAATAGGGCATATCTGTTAGAACAGCTGGGAAATCGATTTTTGCCTGCCACAGTTAACACGAAAAAGAAAAACAAAATAATTTTCAGCTTGAGTTCTCAGAAATTTGGTATTAACTACCAGTTATTACATTTGCAAAAAGCACACCTGGGTCACTTCTAATATATATATATATATATATATATATATATATATATATATATATATATATATATATATATATATATATATGGATTAATGAAATTTGAAATATCGGTAGTAAAGATAAATAAAGAACCATTAAAGATAAAAACGCTTTCGATACAACGCGCTTGCAGGTTTGGCGCCAATTTTTTTATCTAGGGATTTCCTCTGTAAATGGCAAGGTGTACCCATCAGAGAGTCATATAGCAAAAGGCAAAGCAGGCTGTATCGATAACCTGGCACTTCTAATGTCAAATGATATTGCTCTTTTTTCTGTTTTTTTATCTTTTAATCCAAGTTTTTCCTATCTCACCTTCTCTCTCTCTCTCTCTCTGTCTGTCTGTCTGTCTCTCTCTCTCTCTGAAGCAGATAATGTTTTCTTTCTTTATATCCATCATCGTATTTTTCAATATCTTCGTTCCCTTTAAATATTCTTTCTTTATATTTTTCTTTTTAGGATCAATTTGTCTTTCTTCTCTGTCGTCACCTTTTTTTATCATCACGTATTCCTGATGCTATCCTACTTAGCGATTTGTCACTTCCACTTGTCACTGTAATTCGTTTCTAGTATTTGTATTCAGTTCTAATGAATGTGCCTTCTTTCATTGACTCCTAAACATAACCCAACGAAATATGTCTTATCGCTGAAGAAGTTGTAGATTTCCACCTCACATCAAGAGATCGAGGCTACATAAAGCGTACAAGCATCCTGGTTATTGTGGCAAGAGTTCCTTCAACTTATATATAGTAAATACATTTCTTGCTATTTAGAAATAAAGTAAAGAGTGTTGATATGCTACACTAATATGGCAATGGATATTTGCCCAACAGAAGAAAGACTCTTGAGCCGTTCGAGATATAATTCTATAGACGATTTTTCAGAATAATATAGAATGAAGTTTCGAGTAACTAGGAAGTTTATAATATTAGGAAATAACAAGATACTTAATTTTAAAATTAGAAAAAGTGACATGAATTTTCTAGGGCACATAATGCAGAAGGTGGTCTTGAAGGTGATACAAATCACTGGAGATACTGAAATAAGGTAAAGCATTTGTATCGGTGTTTAAGTTATCTTATGATTTTCTGTAAATAAATGTCAGAGTCAGGAAAAAAGAGGGAAGGTAAAGAGACAAAATTTAGCGGAAGTTGCGGAGAGTCGGTCCTGAAGGGGGGGAAAACTATAAAATAAGATTTATCCGATATTCCGATTGTAAATTTACACTTCGAATCTTGGTGACATATATGTCCTGGTACTCCTACAATATATTTAGAAATTCCTGCTAAAATACTAAGAAGAATCAGCAACGTTATTTCTCCTGACCTTGCACCTTGGCTGCAGTCGCTTTCCCACGATGGTTCCTTTTCTGTACATGCTTTCATGATAATTTTTCTGATGTACTTTACTCTGTGGAAGCTAGATTTGATGAATGTAAGTACAGCACCAGATTGGCAATAAGATCTCAACCCTTTGCGTTTGAATTGGTTTCATGTAACCACATTTTCTTTGTTAACGATTATTTTCTCGTGGGTGGAACTCTCCTCTGCCTCCTTGATTTCCAACCAATTTTGATCGTCAAAAATTTAAATGCTATGTCAGGATTTTCAAATGTAATGTCAATCGACATCTCCAGTTGCCTTGATCTATCCACTACCCTTCTCCTCATCCTTTCCTTTATCACTCCTCTCTGCTCACGCTCCAAATCCTCTGTAACCCTTTTGCGTGAGAGTAGCTTCCCGCCTTGCTTGAAATGCTCAAAAAATCGTATTTTGATTCCTCTCTTTTATTGTTCTTGCTCCTTAAAAATGGTTTACATTTACTTTTACACTCAGTAACCGCTTGTGCCTTAGTTGCTTTATTGCCTTGCATGAAATGAAATGATTAAAAACAAATCTCTTCGTCTAATTCCTGTTTCTTCTCTGGTGTGTAATATGTCATTACTTCATTCTCTTTTACTTCTCCCCTCTAAAGAAATTGAATTCTTGCTTTTTCTATTCTCTATATTTACTTATCTTTGACACATCATTCTTCATTCTCCTCCTCATTTTTCTTCTCTATATTCTATTCAGGATATTTTTCCTTCAAGTTTCTTTCTTTCCCCTCCGCCTCCTACTGTCCCTTCTCTCCTCCTCTTTACAAATTCTCTTTCTTTCATTCATACCATGTTGTTTCCATACTACGATGATCTATTTGACATTTTCCCTCATCATCTGCCATGTTTTTTCTTTCCTTTTTACCTTCCTTTGTTTTCTCACCTACCTTATTTCCCTACTCATTTTATTCTTCTGAATATTATTACTCTTCTTTACTTTTCCTGTTTAAATTCATTCACTCCATCCAAATGTTTCTATTCTCATGCCTTTTTAGCCTCTATTTTCCAGCTATAATCTTTTCATCCTTCTTTTTTTTTCACCTTATTTTTACTTCTCTGATCATCACTTTTGTTTATATTCATCACTGACTACGTTATTTGCCTTCGTCTTCAAGCATCATGTAATTGTGTTATTCTTCTTAATATCTAATCACGATTCTCCCTTTTATTCTCATCCTCCACTGATTTTTCGCGACCATTCTCTTGTTTTCCTTTATCTATTTTACTTCTTTCTTTCCAATACATTTTCAATTTCTCGTACAGAATTTCTTTGGTCAATTCATTTTCTTCTGCTCTTTTCTTTCTCTTATTTTTTTTCGATGTCTCTATTTTGTCTATTTACTTTTTTGTTCATGTTCCATTCCTGAATCAACCAATGTTAAATATCAAGTTTGCTGCAACGGAGGAAAATGGCTGTCAAAATGTATTTGCTTTTATCTGCTGACTTTGTCAGAAGGAACCTTCCTTTGGATGATTCCAAATAATACCGATTCGGCGGTATTAAAAAAGTACCCTCAGGATAGGGTCACCGGTTTGTATAAGACAGATGAGGCAACTAATCGATATTCGTAGAAAAAAAATCTCCAAAAAAGTATGTATCTTTTTTTTTCGATTTAGCATATGGGTTGGATATTTTGCGACAGATCATCACAATTTCAAGCCCATAGGGTTTAATGAGGTTACCATTTAAAACAAATGATAAATGTTTTACTATGCTAATTCAGATGAATTCGGAGTTCAGATATTCTGTTATCTGATGTAACAAAAAATGCATTATTTTTATATTTTTCGGTTGTACAAATCTTACTAATGAAACTGAACATATGAAATTAGAAACATTAGTACACGAGATGCTTACACTGTAAACGAAAGATAAATATTGATTATGCCAAATAATCAATCTGTGCCTTAATATGTAGAATTGTGTAGCAGTGGCAGTATAACTGTAGCAGAATATGCATGTTGTATTGCTCTTAGAGAGGAGAGATGCTCTGCGCGTTATTCACCACAAAACCGTCGAATCTGAAATAAAAAATAAATGATGTTACACAGAACAATAAAATCTAACAATGGCGTTGCCATATTGACCAAGCCATCTGGGAAAAGCATTATTTAGATTATTCGGACTATTGTCCACATCTTTGTCGCCATTTTTATCACAACGTTTTGGCAGTTGCACGCCCCGGCCTTCTTCAGGTAGTTGGAATGTCGAACTGAACGCTTTATTTCGCTCACTGGGGGAGACCGTTCTAGTTCCACGTGTCACATCTAATGTATGTCAGTGATCAGTTATCTCCTGTTAATTCTCTTCAAGTTCTCCACTGCAATAACCAGGTATTAATCTCACGCTCTTTGGGTCCTGTCACTGGATCTAACGAACGCTTTTATCTACCCTGGCATGTGTCCTTGAGGAACTAGAATAGTCTACCACAGGGAGCGAAATAAACGGTTCAGTTCGAAATTCGACATGGTTTGCATCGAAATTCCAATCACCGGAAAAAGTCCGGAGCGTACAACGGCCGAAAAGTTGCAATAAATATGGCGACAAAGATGAGGACAATATTCAAAATAATGTAAATAGTGTACATAATAACTCATCTCAGAAATATAGACAGAAATCTGGGAAATGCTTTATCAAAATCAATTAACAGAAAACCGAGAAATCCTAAATGTCACTATCACGCTATTAGCGTAATTTTGGGTGAAGTGGCTTTCACCCTATACAAGGCCCAAAAACAACTCAAGGTTAATGAATTTGGTTATTCTATGGATGTAAGAGGAAGAATTAGTACATTATGCATTAGCTGATGTAGGACAGATGATATTTGACACTCGATTTGAAGAGTTAAAGATCACTCCGATCTTAACTTCAAAAAATTTCGAAGCTCTTCTTTTGAAGATGTCAGAATGGAACGTCTTTCTTACAAATGGAATACGAAAGAATTGATTAAAGGCATTTTGCTTGACTAACCATAGTTAGAAGTCAGATTATTTTGATATTTTAGGTGAAAATTCTTCTATAATTTCTCGAGCAAAAGTAGCAAGAGTAATCATGATATCTGTAAAATCTAGACATACATCAATATTATGCAATTTCTTACATATTTTAAATGAATTATATCAAATCTGTGACTGATAGGCATGACAAAAAAATCGGTAAAGTGGAATATTTTAACAAATCAGATCGCATTTGAAAGTCGATGTTGTGTCATAGTCTGTGAACCAATCGATTAACACACTATGTTGTGAATAAAGTATTACACGTTGCATTATTTACTCTTCTTTGACCAAAAAGAAAACAATTCGTGAAAGCAAAAATTAGTTAATGCAGGGAGATGTCGGCATTGATCTCATGAGTATAAAAGTTTGTTAATCGAAAAATTCCATCGAACATCTGGGAGAAAATACTTCCAAACATGCAATTGGTGGAGAGTTTTGTATCAGGTCTCTGTTACAGATTGTCAAAGATCTTTGGCATGGCATCTGCTCTGGTAACAAAGCTTACATAAAGTGATTCCCTGATTATGTGAGAGATAACACTATCGTCTGTGTGGAGACATAAATTTTTTTATGTGATTCTACACTGGGCACTATCCACCAGGAATTATGGAAGGAAGCAGAAAATACCATTTGTAAAATCCTTCAATAAAATCAGTGTCTTTAGGTAATGCAAATATTTATTTTATAAGTGGGACGTTTGAAAGATTAAAAAATCATTCTATTAGTATTCGAAATATTAATTGAGAGATTTTAAAAAGGGGGAATACTCTATAGATATTCTACCATTTATATGTGAAGATTCATATAAAGTTGTAGTTAATATTAAACCCGAATCGAGTAACGCAGAAAATACATAATGATAGGTGAGTTGGAAGAATTCATTATAGCTGACAGGAAGGAAAAAGGATTCAGATAGGTGGCAAAATATGTCGTTAGGGGAATGTAGAAATTGATGGAAAAGTCATACATGAGATGTCATAAGTTGTTACATATCTATTTGAAAACGAGTTGGTATTTCTTGCTTAGCAAAGTGATGGTAATTTCATGTTTGTTCTGATTCATATTGAGTTCAAAACTGCTGCAAATGCTGTTGAAAAGGATTGTTTCTGTTGCTATGTTAATGCCCATTTTTATCTATAAAATGTTCATGGAATACACCGGCAGAAAACGGAGGAATAAAATGGTTGTAATGGCGCTGTAACAACAGCAAGTCCACAAAGAAAAGAAAATCTGTTGAATTACAAACGGCGATTATCTCCCTTTCGCTGAGATAGCCACGAGGGTCACGTGACGACTGGTAATTGACGCCAGGAAGGGCAGTTGCGATGTAGAAACAACAGACAAATGACGTCCCTAGTCCACATCGTTATTTCTTACAGATAAATCCACCTGGCCTAAGCAGGTTCGTAGAGAAAACGCCTTAACTCCAGTATTCCTTTCAGGAAATATAACAATGTTAAAACATGATTATCTTTGGGAAGTTAAGTTCTGATAGATCTTGTGAAAACGTTGTCTGGTTGGTGTCTCTGAGAATTAAACCTTAAACTGTATATATATATTTACTTTTTGAAAACGTAACTTGTGACCACTCTCTAAATTCCGCACATAACCCACCAAAGAAGAACACACAGATATATATATATATATATATATATATATATATATATATATATATATATATATATATATGTGTGTGTGTGTGTGTGTGTGTGTGTGTGTGTGTGTGTGTGTGTGTGTGTGTGTGTGTGTGTGCGTGTGTGTGTCTGTGTATGCGTGCGTGGGAGAGAGAGAGAGAGGAGAGAGAGAGAGAGTGGGAAGAGACATACCATATATTTTATGAAGTACTTTAGTATTTTGTTTTTTTCATCTGAGTATGTCCCACTTCTTGCTGGAAATATATTCCGTTGCCTACAACAGCAAATAATACAAATAAGCATTAACTTTTACCAAAAACAAGTAAATAATCTAACATTTATTGACTATCTGTTTTTTAGTGTATTCCAAAAGTCAGTAAAAATTTCACACATCGAAATTGGGAGAGATGTTATTTAATATTAAGATTTAAATGAAAATCATCCGTTTTTGAAAGTACATCGAGTGTTGTAGTTGATAATATTTATTTATTTATTGCTTATGATGATAAATCTACGTCAAAATTAAGCTTCGTATTTATCTATTTAGTCCTTCATTCCTGTTAGATTTGTTACTATGCAATGATGTAGGCCAACACTAGAATTTGATACGTTTGTATTGAGTGTGTGTGTGTGTGTGTGTTCTTGATTCATATAGAACAAGATGATAGACCAAATTTCCTGCAATATAATTCGTTTTTGTTTTCATAATTTACTTTATTAAACACGTTTTTTTATAAATAAAATCTACACTTTGGCACATAAAAAACCCACACACAGGCACAAGAGCATTCTGTATGGAATTGTATCCTCCATGAAATCCTGCAATTTTACCTTCTGATAGAAAATAATATATTTCGTACATGTGTGAAAAGGCTTCCAGCAAAAAAAAAAAAAAATTCAACTGTGTATTGAGACATTCATGTGAAAAAATAACACGTATATTTTCGCACACGCGTTCTACTTATGTTAGTTTCTTCGACATAGTTCATCTATGTATCTATGTATACATCTATCTATCTATCTATCTATCTATCTATCTATCTATCTATCTATCTATCTATCTATCTATCTATACGCTGGCACACGGCCACGAGCGCGCGCACTCTCACTTAATGTTAAACAAATATTAAAATATAATGTAAAATGAAAATAAATATGAACTTTGCCAAAATTACCGATAAACTAAAACAACTAATTTGGAAATTTTAAAAAATTAATAAAAAATTTAATACGCAGAATTTGAATTTGTAAATATTTTAAACCAACATATATATATATATATATATATATATATATATATATATATATATATATATGGGTTATTTGAAAAAATCATTCAGCATTTAAGTAAATTCAGCATTTAAGTAAATGATTCAACATATTTTCCAACCTTTTCAGAAACCCTTCGTATATATTTTGCTTTATACATTCATCAGCCATGAATTATAGAGAAATGAAACTGAGTATATATGTTCAATTGTTACAGCTTTCACTCTAAATGAAATTTTCCAAAACTTTCTTTGCAATGATTCTTCTCTTCGTATCCTCAGTTTTTGCAATTCAGTCGTTCTCACCACGATTGTTTAAGACTTTGAAAAAAGAAAATATAGGTTGAGATACCAGGTGATTTGAACCGTCGAAACATTGTATCTATTTTGAAATCACACCATGTAATAATGTTTCATTCTGAGATGTTCGAAATATCAAAAACGAATCTGTCGGTATTAATCGAAGGATGTCTACATTAGTTCCAGAAAAGAAATTGTTTTCGGCAATACTAAGAAGACATTTGACATTACCATTTTTCCACTGAGGATAAATGGCTTAGTTACGTGCATGAGGATCTGATTCCTATCATCAGTAGATTTCTGAGTGTCTCAGATATACGTTTCCCCAAAATCTCTCATTACTTAAGTGTCCAACATTTGATATACTCCAAAATAAGATTCCTTCTAGAAAAGAAATGTTAGATTTTTTAAAATTGTAGCCATTGCAAAATACTTGCAGGTGAATGTAGAAAATATTTGTTCACACATTTTGCAAAAGTCGGAAAAAGCGAAAATGCCGATTCAAGAGATTTTGCAATACATCCTGAAATTTTGAGCGTGAATCATGTATTATGAGGAAGGTGCTTCTGGTTGACATTTCATTCAGACATTCTGACGTTGACATGTAACTTTCCAACGGTTCTTAATTCATTTTCACTTTTCTTTTTCATGCACATCTGCTTCTATTTCATTGATATTTTAACTTGCATACATTGAGATCTGCAAAATAACGTGGATTTGGAAACATATGACATTACTTGTCAAAATTATACATTGAGACAAGTTTAATGAAATTTTAAAATTCAATAATCCAAATATATCTATATTCATAATTAAAAGGTTTTTGTCGTAAAGAAGTTGCAATTAAAATTTCAGACAATCTGTAATATCGTAAGCACATTGGATACATCATAGCACTAAAATAATCAGCGTATTCTAACAAATCTGTTGATATGTCATAAAAGCACCAGAACACACACACACACACACATATATATATATGTATGTATGTATGTATAAAAAAATAAACGTACTAATTCTAGATTATTGAACTAAACATGCTTATATATATATATATATAGTAGCCTATTTTTAATTTTAATCCTCTCAAATTCACTGAACAATTTCTTAATGTTATTATTAAACTCAATAAGGAAGGCGCCTTAGTCTTCTCGTTCCTTTTTTCCCCAAGTGCTTTCAGACTCATGCAAAATCATCATAAAAAATTAACATAATTGATAGTTGTGTTTTTTATATAACTGCGCACCAAACGCGCTATAATAATTCAAACTTCAACGTTTTCTAAATGATATTCCTATCCTAATTTATCATATATATATATATATATATATATATATATATATATATATATATATATATATATATATTTGGATTGATGTATTGTGTTTATCTCTCCATATATATATATATATATATATATATATATATATATATATATATAAAAAAAGAACAGCAAGATATATAATCCGGTTTTCTTATAGATATTTTTATTTTTTACAAAATAGTGCTCAATGTAAATTTACAGAGCATTAATATTATAAATTAACTGTTTTAAAATATGTTTTTTTTTCGCTACACAGTTCTAACCATGTTTCAAAAATGGAAGCTACAAGCCACGAATTTAATTTTGAAGCGAATTCTAGAGTAACTTTTTAAAATTACTGGGTTTTAAATACACAGCTAAAACAAAATTCATGTTTCCAAGGTTACAGATAAATCTATTTTTCTAGACAGGGGTGGCTGGGTTTTCAATATGTCTATAATTTAATGTACCAGTTATTGCTACGTTTGGGTCGTGGGAAGTACTTTCATAAAAAAACATTATTATTTTTTTTAATTTGCAATTTTTTTCTATATATACATATTAAGAAAGTATACGTGGCTTCTCATTATGATATATATATATATATATATATATATATATATATATATATATATATATATCAAGGAAAAATCTTAAGACATCACGAAAATACGGTTTTATCGTAATAAATCATCACATTTTAAATAGTAACTCTCATCAGACCGAAGATATAAAAAGTATAAATTTACAAAAAATGCTATATATTTATCCAGACAAATATTTATTTTTTTAAAAGAAATAAATAATAATTACAGGTAAATGTAACATGAAGTCAGGTTGTCTGTCCTAGAAAATCTATTTTCAGTGTGTTGAAAGCCGTCAGCTATTCATAAGTTTGGTGAGGAATATATCTATTATCAAACAAGTGAACCTCAGAAAAAGAAGGCGGAATACAGACTTGGAGTTGCGTACGAGACATTTGCAAATTTAACCAAACCTTTCTTCAACAACAAAGATCTGATAATAACAACAAAAATATGTTCTCTATTGCTCTTGTCATTTCACCTTTGCTGTACGATTTCAAGAACCTCAACTTATATCGCGGCGACATCCAAAAAGTATAACGCTTTAACCTGCAAAAGTTTCGTTCAACATTGAACATCAAATGGAAATGTGACCAATTCCTTGAGAAATCTAAAAAAGTTGGTTTGGTCTTCGATGATCAGGACATGCAGCAAGAATGGAAGATTCTAAGTTAAGTTATATTCTGGGATTTCACTTGAGGCCAAAGTCAAAGAAGTTGCCTACTTCGAAGATACAAGGACGGAAAAAAATACTGAAAGCCAACAGACATCAGCCTAAATCCTTTGAAAATCAAGTACCAACTTGAAGCATTGCATCATCAGCGTTTTATCTCTTCACTGCGTTGAACGATGATGAAACAAACAAAAAGTTGTATGTCATTTGGATCGAAGTAGTTTTGATGAAATCGATCGCAAGGAAATCAGCTAGATCTCTCTCTACTAGTTTACTCCTACAGGCGATTCTTGGCGTCCATATTGATGTATTTGGAAGAGTCCATGTCCTTTTCTGCAGAGGTGTGTGATGTACTTCCTTTAGTCGACACTTTTTCCGACATGATTCCACTTTTCGCTTGCCTGGACGCTTCATTGTAATATCAGTTTTAGAAATAAACAATTACAAAATATCGTAAAATTTGTCTATCGGTAAAATTAATTAATTTATTTATTTATTTTGTGCCTATCTAGACCTCTGTTGATTTACCTCTCTTATAACGAAATATCTACATTTGACAATGTACATCATACTATCAAGTCGTTGAATATTATTTCATTCTAGCCAATTTTCATTTCCGGCCTTAATTTGCCAAAATATATCTAACTTTCGTAGCAAACCGGAACTCTGTAAATGACAGTTTCGCTGTGAAGTTTGCATTTGACTTCATTCGAGAAACGCCCCAAATTCCTGTAATATCTTTTCTTTAGCTTCCAAGTTTTACTTTTTCTTAAGTCTCTTTTGTAGATGGGAACAAATCGTTTCGCTTTACCTTTGACTCTGATGATAAATCAGAGTCAATGTCAAATAAAACTCACGAGAAGATAGGTCTATTATCGCACACGACATGTCGGCTACTCCAAACCTTACAAAAATTTTGCACAAGTATGTTCATGTTAATGCAGTAGTAGGTCATTTACGCTACAATATCACGGGTTTTTTTTTTAAATAAACATATAATTTTTATAATGAATTTTCATATCGTCTATAGTGATCGGCAATTCTTTAATAGTATTACATACCAGGCTTTTATTCCCGCCTCCGAATTGCGCGTAGTAAGGTGTTCCTGTATGTATTTCCACTAAGTGCAAACTGTATTCAAGTCTGAGGGCAAACTGTTTTCAAGTCTCCGACAACTTCAAGACCGCACATCTTATACGACCTACACCTACTACTATTCTAGACCTTTTCATAATCTAAATATAACACGAGGACGATAAGCCATAAACGAAATAAAACTCAACCAGCTCGACAAAAAGCACTTAAACCCATCAATATTTCTTTCTACAACAATCACGGTAATTGTACCTATTTCGTTCCTGTTTTGAACACTCGCCAGAGATTCTAATTCTTTGGAGAAATAATCTTAATTCCACTCCTCTGAATTCTCAATTCCTGCCCATCTTCCTCTCTTTAGGAAAGACTCTAGTGCTCATATGTAAGGCCGAGGTATTTATGTTCGGGGACATTTCCCACTAGCTAGATAACTTGATTCCCCAGATCATTCATACATATGCAACCGTCTTTCTCTTCTAAACACAGTCAGCTATCTTATCTTTATCTACAGTTGCCATTACTCTCATTACTGTTGAGTTCTAGATAGTATTTTTGATAATATAGATAAGCACCTCTCTCCAAACCAGTTTGCCAATAAAACCAGTTCGGCAAATCTAATGCCCATCATGTCAGGTGGCTTAATCAGTCTGTCACTGACCACGCTGTCATTCAAGCCCTGAATATCAGCTAATCTCTTAGGCAAGTGGTATACCTCTTTATGTGTCTCTCTAGTAATCGTCTGAAGCTCTGACCAATAGAATATTTTTTTTTATTAACGCTGTTATAGGAACTCGTCCCGTGACTTCTTTCGCGTTTTCCCTTGGAATAAAGTTATTAATCATCCTGTTCAAAAATGTGCCACTGAAGTATCCTCATTGGTGAAAGCCGGTATCGAAGTTTTAGCCGCGATATCTTCGTATCATTTTTCGTAATATGTGCACGCGTGTCCGCAAATAAGTGAAATTACTGTTTGAAGATACAATGAAACAATTTATAGCCTCTCACATGTTTGTTTCCAATGATTATTGTCGACTCTGCAAAAGTGTCATGAACAACACCAAATCCCCAGTACCTCAATCAATTTGAATTTCTTGCATCTAGAGCAGATCAAGTTGAGTAATTTATTCTAAAGTTCCCTTTCAACTCAAGACTTGACACATCTGGAATTACCATACCCCGCCTAGAACAGAAACTCGGGTGAGTGATAGGCGTATACCCCTTTCACCGATTTTAGAAATCATTTCTAAACTAGACTCCCACAATTGAATTGGATGTGATGGTATCCGTGCTGTTCTAAAGAAATATGTTCCTCAGCGGACTCTATTTCTCTCTATATTCTACAAAAATTGCTTCGCTTCCTCTACATTCCAGCTTGCTGAAATTCATCCTCGGCAGTTTCTGTTTTTAAGAACTCTGAAGAACATAATATCGCCGAATTGTTCACTTAACGCTCTCCGGAAAGGTATTCAAGGCTTTAATCGATGCCGAAGTGGTTAAGCATCTTACTTCTGAGGAACTCAGTAAAAGAGGAACAGATGAAGGCAACGAATCAGCAACCTGATGGTCTTGTATGAAGTGGGATCAGAACAGGGAACTTAGGTTTGGAAAAATGTGAAAGGGTCACATGTGATAGAGAACTGTGAAGAGTCGTGGTGGCCAAAAGGCCTGATGAAACACAGCAAATACAATATTTTCAATTAAACATATTTACAATGTCAAGTATAAATCAGCTTTAAAAGATGAACATCTTTCTTCGAAAAATACGACTGATAAAGAATTTAATCATCAAATTATTTCAAATATTGCAAATGAAAAACCAGACTTTGCTTTTACCAGTTGAACTCCAATAACATTATCTTATCGAACTGCTGTAATTGTCAGTTGTAGTTTTGTTAATCTCGTTTTTTATCACAATGAATGTTTGGCCCGCTTGCATAGACGTCAGGGGTTCGCCGCGATTCTTTAACACGGAAGAGAATGTGACTTTGCAGTATTATACAATGGGTAGATTCAATATTGTTTCTACTGAAGTTTCTTCACTTGCTTGGAACTTTCTGAACAGATGGCCCTGAGGCAACCATTGTTTCGTGACATGGAGAAGAGCAAACAGGACAAACATGAATAGAAAATAACATTATCGATATTGGTATAGGATGAGAGACGGGAGTATGTCGATGTGTGTGTGTGTGTGTGTGTGTGTGTGCGGCAGTCAGTTTGACAGTAAGTGTAGATGTGTTTGAGGAATTCAAGAAGGACACACAAACTTACTAACATAACATTCATATATATCTCTCTCACTTGTTCTATTTCAGATACACATTCACACGTAGGCGAACATAAACCTGTTTTCTCACAAATCTATTTATGTATAAAAAACATTTACATGCATGAATATATATATATATATATATCAATATATATATATATATATATATACATATATATATATATTGATATACGATTTTATATACAGATCAATAAAGAAAATACATTGTTGTTACCCTTAAAGAAAGTCATACCACAAAATAATTATGCATTTCAGATCTCTCACACCTTCTATCTCTCTCTTTCTTTACATAGATGTATATATGGTAAATATAGAGAAATATAAATATATAGTATTTAATACAATGTGATGCACGCCTACTGTTGAGTAACTTGTTTACATACCCATGTCTAAAGAAAGATTTACATTTATGTATAGCTGTCTGGATGCATCCATAATTATGGATGTAATATATTTGTGTGTTGGGCCGTATTATTCTTTTTATTATTGTTACCATTACTATTGTCATTAATATTATTCTGTGATAGTAATAATAATAATAATAATAATAATAATAATAATAATAATATATTATTTTTTTTTCCTCAAAAAATGCTCAGTAGAGAATGTCATGATAACATGTCTTCTTTAGGTCTTTGGAAAGAAGTGAGTATGCATCACAAATCAAAGAATATATAATAATAATAACAATAATAATAATAATAATAATAATAACAATAATAATAATAATAATAATAATAATAATAATAGTAAGAGTGGCCAATATCTGCACTGGAAAATTTGCAACTTCTAGGGGAAGGAAACTGAAAGAAACTGGTATGAACACCACCCAGACCCGGTTACAGAGATAGGACCTGTTACAATTCTATGGGATTACACAATACACACTGACAGAACAATCAAAGCTAACTGCCCAGATATTGTTATTAAAGACCACAAACAAAAACGGTGCCTCCTTATTGATATGGCAGTCCCTGCTGAATGCAATGTATCTTTGAAATTATTCAAAAAGCTGTCAAATTACAAGGACCTTGAAATAGAAATCACAAAAATGATTCGTTCGAAAAGATTCCAGTAGAATAATTGAAGGGATTTCTGGAAGTCCATTCCTCAAAGAGATACAAAAAATTGTTCTGACAAGTATAGCCGACACTTTACGAAGGGCTTTATCTATATAATTGTTTTTTTTTTCTTTTTTTTTTTTGTCATTGGAAAGTGTCATGATGTCATTTATAAATTGAGGTCCTTCAGCAGGACCCGGAAAGAAATTTGTAAACGTCAGAAATCGAAGAAATCAAAGTAATAATAATAATAAAGAAATTTCAACGGCCAAACAGGTAGAAGAATAAATGTCAATAATCCGTTATTCGGACTATTGTCATCATCTTTGTCGCCATATTTATTACAACTTTTCAGACGTTGTACATTCCGGCCTTCTAAAGGTGGTTGAAATGTCGAATTGAATCCTTTATTTCGATATTCCAACCACCTAAAGAAGGCCGGAGCGTAAAACACCCGAAACGTTGTAATACATATGGCGAGAAAGATGAGGACAATAGTCGGAATAATATAAATAATGTGCATAATACCTCATTTCAGAAATATAGACAGATGCTAATAAGCCGGATGAGAATTGTAAATAAAATGCTGGTAAAAAGTGTCTAATAATTACAATCACTGTCGATGGAAATATTACAGTCAAATTGTTGGGATTTGATAATCAAAATTCAGAAGATGCAGCAAAGCTGAAACTCAAACAATCCTAATTGTTACTGATGCATTAAGGATCAAATATGTATACAAAATAATGTATGAATTATGAAGTTTGTCGTCTCCCTGGTTAACGGAGTCTTGCTGAAATGAAAAACATTGTACTCATATATCTACAACATGGAAAGTCTTATCAATGTAACAGGTTACGGATCTAAATTATTAGACTTTGCCTCGACGTTCTAATATATTCCAAGAACCTCCAAACATTTTGCAATGGTTTCTTTTTTAAATTTTGAAGATTCTCAATGAGTTAACTTGATTTTTACAAATATAAGTTAAATCTACTTTTATAGAATCCCCATTTAATTTGTTTACATAATTTAAGTGTACATAAAATTTGTATGCGCATACACATGCATGTTTTCAGTTTAGACTAATATTTAGAAACATAGACATCGCAGCTACATATCGAACGCACTATTTGATCTGCCGACTTGCAGTCTCTTGGTGTTTCATGTTGAAATTTGGAAGCAACTAGTAAATTAAACAACTAGACTATAAACAGCGCTGCTGCTGTTTTCTTCTTCTTCTTCTTCTTCTTCTTCTTCTTCTTCTTCTTCTTCTTCTTCTTCTTCTTCTTCTTCTTCTAATAATAATAATAATAATAATAATAATAATAGTAGTAATAATATCAACCGAACTGTCGCTAACATAAAGAACATTTACTACAAGTTAAAAAATATAAAGCTCTACCAAATGATGCCACATTCGCGTAGGTGATATCCATTCCTGTAATGAACAGTAGTATCCATCTTGAGTTGATATATAATAAATATCATATAGCTTAAAATATTTATAGAACACACACACGTGCACCCTCACACACACATATATTTCAACACACAGACACACACACACAGACACACACACACACAGACACACACACACACACACACACACACACACACACACACACATATATATATATATATATATATATATGTATATATAAATAATTTCTTATAATCGGAATTAAGATACCATCATGCAAATGATCCTTTTAATCTTGTAAAAATAAATTTACATAGGTATCTTCATGAGATCTAAATATATATATATATATATATATATATATATATATGTATGTATATATAATTTTAGCGCATTTTTTTCTGTATGACAGACATTAATTTTGAAAATCTTGTAAAAAAAAGATAATTGTCGGATTTTAATGAAACTTTCAGAGACTATTCACGAATGATGGAACTTATTATAAATATGTTTTTTCTTTTTTAAAGTCATCGCAATTTTTTTCATATGAACTACCCCAGCTCCTGAATTAACTAATTGTACGAAAAGTCTATAATTTCAGTTTTTGGAAGATTACTGATTATATTAGTTAAAAGCACAATGCTTTGAGAAAACCAAATCATGTTCTGTTTTTTTTTTTTTTTTTTTTTTAGTTGGACCACCTCTACCTGAAAATCGTCTGTGAATTGTAACATACAAAACTCAATAAAACAAAAATATTATTTAATTTCAAAAGCTTTGAATTGCTTTTATTTATTTTAATGAACATGGAAAATATTGTCTGAAAGCAAAAAGATATTTTGATGGAAAATGAATTTTTAAAACAATTATTTGTTATTTCTGAAATATTCTATTATTTTCACATTATGTTGTTAATTCTTTTAAAATTTGGGAAAAGTTTCTAAAATTTAACGAATGTCGATATTAAGTAGATATTTATTTACAGATTATAATTTCCAACGCTTAATACAAACTAACGAACAACAGTATGTAGAAAAATATATATTTTGTCAATAATAACACTGTAAATCAAATCTACGGAAGACCGGAAGTATTATGCGTTCAATAAAAAAAAACGTCACGTGGATTGATTTTCTGTCTCGTATTTACCTTCAATACTGAATTTTTAATTCTATTATTTGTTATTTCTTTGATTATAATAGATTTTTACATTTAAGTTGTTAAAATATTATAAAATTAGTTAAAAGCCGCATTCTGTTTCGTAAATATCTTTTTGAGATATAAATTTATTTTTGCGAAATACGTGTGGAGAAGTTAATTTGGTTTTTAAATTACAACTTAGAAGGGTACCTACAAGTATCAGTATCATCTTATGAAATTTAAATTTGTATTTTATGTACACTTCTGATAGAATTTCATAAGAAAGGTACCTATAAATTAGATACCTTTATTATGAAATTTAACCTCACTCTCAACAGTCTTAGTTTAATTTCTTTATAATATATTTTCCATAAAGCATACTAAACGTAAAGTGTGAAAGCTAAGTACAAAAAAAAAAAATTAAAAAATTAGAGCGCAGAAACTTTTTCTTCAAAATAACGAGGTAAATAATTTGTTCACTTAAATATAAATAACTTCATATCTCTCTTTCGGTAAGAGGAATTATCCTCACGTAAGATATCAAAACGTCATGAATGTCTTTCGTCACCTTCTCAAGTGATGCGAAATTTTATGACCTGCTTAGTTTTATTTTCAAAGTACGTCTTTTTGGCGAAGAAACTAAGTTAAGCTTGGTTCAAAATATTTTAAATAAACATTATATTTTCTCATTTTCTTAAAATAAGTTTTGTAATTGATTTTAAATGAATTTCAAAGTGAGAATTTCATTTTTTTTATAAATTGGAAAAAATGGCCGACATGATCGATTATCTGTTAATTTTGCTGACTAAAAAAAAAAAGATTTTTAACGAAAAGTTTGGACGTGCTAGGAAAAATTAAAAAATGTAAAAAAAATACCCACAAAATACTTTCCTCTTAATATTAACATTTAGATGATAAAGTTTTGTTTTCGTCAAGTTTGGCGTTTTTTTTTAACGCTATAATCTATTTGCTAAATTTACAGGATTTTTCAAGCAGTCATTTGGTGATTAATTTTTGATATAAATAAAACAGACAAGAGGGGAGGGAAAGGTAAAAAGTAAAAGAAGAGGAAAGAAAGTAGATATACGAAAAGTATCTTCAGAAATTAATAAAAACAAAATAAATATTATATTAAAAATAATAAGGGATAAAGTCCCAAAATGAAAAAGAGATATTTCAGAATTTAAGAGTATTAAATTAACAAATATATAAGAAAAGATATATAAAGAGGGAAATAAAAATTAATTAATAAATATAAGGTAAGGTATTTCTTTTATATTGTCTTATGTATTAAATTTCAATGTATATATATATATATATATATATATATATATAGTGAGTAAATATAAAAAAATGAATTATGAAATAGAGCTTAAAATACATAGAGTTATGTATTATTACATAAAAATAAATTCTCAAAATTATATATATATATGTATTAATATAGTATTATATTATTATAATATATTATTATATTATTATTCATACACATTACTGTAGTGGAAAATTCAGGAGAAATCAATAAAAACAACTTAATTTAAGCCGAAAAGAAAAAAATAAACCAATAAGAGTAATATCAAATATATATATATATATATATATATATATATATATATATATATATATATATATATATATATATATATATATATATATATATATATATACAATTTCATTACAGCTGTATTTGACATGAGAATAATACACGAAAGATCTTTTCAAGTTTTTTCATTATTTACAGTTGGAAATTTGTTCTTTTATTATCTGAACTTTTCGGTTGCCTTCGCCATCATCAGGTGCTTGGCTGGTGATTCGGATATTTTTAGGGAATTTAATTAAAACAAAACTGTTCTAAAAGCTGCTGGCATGATGGTGCTGCAGCTAGATGCGTTGCTTAATGTATTCACAGAGTATCTCTCACATCTACTGCTGCGGCTGTGGCTGCTGTTGCTGCTACGGCTGCTGAAACATTGTTTTTTATTTTACCGTATTGAGTTCTCATATTGTATTCAGTTTCTGCTAAATCATCTAATGATATTATCGCACCCGGCTGGAAGTTACTGCCGGCTACTCAAACGTCTAAAAGCGTCACCGCGGAAAACAGAACGAATGACGTTAACTTCCGGTGACTCGGCGTTTTTCAGAGAACGACTCACAAAAACTCAAAACAAACGAAACTAACTAAAAAAATTACCAGAAACTACTTTATATACACATGGTGTACGAATGAAACCCATGTGTACAGTCAAAAGGCAGGATGGTAATTTTCAGTCATCACCTCAAAGATATCGCTAACCGGCTACGATGCTGACCTCAGCCTATATAAACGCAGCCATTTCTTCCGCCAAAATTTCTCACTTGACGGATTTATCTCGCGACGAATTTCGCCCGATTTTGACAAATTTGGATCGCTTCTCGGCCTTTGGCTGAGTTTCGATCACGGCTACGACTAGTTTGGACCGCCTCCGGCCTGGACCAGCTAGGACAAGCCATGACCAGCTTTGACTAAGCTCTGAACAGCTTGGACATGCTATGACCAGTTTTGGACTAATGGCCTTTGAGTAGAAACACTCGGGTCTCCCACGTTAAACCGACCTTGTGCCACATACTGACCCCGTGGGAGTCAAGTAAATACCTCTCATTTGGCGGATTTTGGCCTCGGGGTTGAGCGACGAGCCTCCCCCCCCCTTACCTTCGCTGACCACAAGAAGCAGCCAAGCCTAGCAGCAAGCCGACCCAGCTTTAGCAGCAGCAGCAGGCCGACCCAGCTTCAGCAGCAGGCCGACCCAACTTCAGTAGCAGCAGCCGGTGTCAGGATATGCACTAGTCTACCCTCGGCTACATGATATGCACTAGTCTACCCTCGGTTACATGATATGCACTAGTCTTTTTCAGGACTACACTCGGTTACATGATATGCACTAGTCGTTTTTCCGGACTTCACCCGGTTACATGTTTTGCGATAGTCCTTTTCAGGACTAAGCTACCTGCGTTATTACGAATGTCCTTTAATTAGAACTACCAAGCTGCGATCTTGCACGACAGTCAAACCAAGGACGAACAGACTACACCAGCGCTGTCCGCGTCGATTCTCTCTCTTCTCAAGCGCCGACGCGCTCTTTACAAAACGGCAGACATCCGGGATATCGACTGGACCTCGAACATCGCTGTTCCATCGGCCTACCTCCGAGATGTCACTTTGAAACCTGACAACGCTCCTTCAACTAACGCTCTCTAACATCACTACCGAACTCTAGCAAACGATTATCTGTACATACTTTTGCCAGATTATTTAATAAAATTTGGCTTAAACCTTTACATCCTCGCCTTTGTTGTCCTTGCTCGATCGTATTACCCTATATTATTTTTCTGCTTGCGGGGTTAACAGGCACCTGCTTAACGCCGCAACAATATCACCATAAACCTGGACAGTCGGGAATCTAAAAATTCGTTTCCCTGGACGTACTTATCAATATGCAAATTTCGTTGTTAGTCATAATACACCAGAGTCGTTTTTGGACTTAAATGGACCAGACAGGTTTTTGTTGGGACATCAGCATTTACGGGAGGAATAATTATTGCGTTTAAAATTTTCACACTGCCATGGTGGAAAATCCCCAACGATCTAATTAAATAAAGGTTCCTTTATAGACAGTTTTAGCTTGTTCTAAAAAATAATTGGAAATTATAAACGATTTGTTTGAAAATAAATTGAACTGGCAAATTAAAAACTTAGAAC